TCTGAAAAACAAACTGAGGGTTCTAGAGGGGAGGGGGTGGGAGGATGGGTTAGCCTGGTGATGGGTATTAAAGAGGGCACGTTCTGCATGGAGCACTGGGTGTTGTGCACAAACAATGAATCATGGAACACTACATCTAAAACTAATGATGTAATGTATGGGGATTAACATAACAATAAAAAAATTTTTTAAAAAAGAAAGAAAGCATGAAAGTAAAGAAAATCCTAATAGGCACGGCATATAGAAACAAATACTAAGGTAGTAGATATAAAGCCAAATATATCAGTAATTATATTAAATTTCAGTGTATTACATGCTACAATTAAAAGTGATGTATCAGAGGAGAGTAAAAAAAGAAACCAGTTATGGTATATACTTATCAGAGAGATTCCTAAAATGTAATATAGAATGGATGCAGATAAAAGGATGGAAAATAGATAACACCATGCAAGTGCTAACCAAAAGAAAGGTGGTAATGTCAGACACAGTAGACTTTAATGCAGAACAGATTATTAGAGATAAAAAGGGATATTTCATAATGACAAAACATTCATTTTTCCCAAAAGATGTGACAGTTTTAAATTTGTGAGCACTCAATAACAAAGGCTCAGAATGGAAAATTTTCAATTTTTCTGTTCTTCTAGAATCAAAAAATTCAATTATAGCACTGAGTGGCAAGATAGACTAAATTTTTTTTAAAGTACTTAAAAGTATCAATAACAACAGGTTATTTTTAAATATGTTATACTATTTTTTAAATATTTACTTTTCCTGACAGAAAATGTTTAATAAGAGAAAAATGACCAATACATAAATATAACAAGAATTTTTTTAAAAGATTTTATTTATTTGTCAGAGAGGGAGAGCTCGAGCACAAGCAGAGGGAGAAGCAGGCAGAAGGAGAAGCAGAGTTCCTGCCAAGCAAGGAGCCCAATGCGGGAATCGATCCCAGGACCCTGGGATCATGACCTGAGCCAAAGGCAGACGCTTAACTGAGACTGAGCCACCCAGGTGTCCCTATAACAAGAATTTTTAAAAAGGCACCCCAAACCGCAGAGAAAAACTGTGATAGTAGGAAATATAAACAGATTGCTCTCAGTAATTTGAAAAAAAAAACAGAAAAAAAAGTAGGAGTATGTAATATTTGAACAATGCGGTTAACAAATCTGTAAGGGACGCATATTGAATACTACTACCTTCAGAATACATAGCCATCCTAAGTACACATATAATATTTCCACAATTAACCAGTTCAAAAAAGTAACTCAGGAATTTTTAAAATCTCAAAATTACTCTGCTTATGTTCCTTGATGACAGTGAAAATTATACTAGAAATCAATTTTTTTAAAGGTAACTAGAAAATCCCCAACTGTTCTTTAGTTAAGCAACTTCTAATTACTTATAGGTCAAAGGATTAACAGTGAAAAATTAGAGCATACTTTTAACTGGTTGATAATGAAAATTAAATCAATAAAGCTTACAGGTTGCCACTAAGGCCATTCTTAGAGGGAAATCCAAAGTCTTAACTACATATATTAGAAAAGAAAGTCTAAAAATCAGTGATCTCTAAGAATTTGCAAAAGAGGTCAGAAAAAGGACAGTAAACTAACCCAAAATTATAAAACACCTGGGGAATCTGGGCACGTTGGGCAAGAGTCAGCAGGCATTGCAAACTGTAAGATTGGACACCCCGTCCCTAAGTACTTAAGATACTAAAACAAAAATAAGCTATACATAGGCAGTCCTTGCTGTGTTTGATAGTGCAGGACTTTAAAAATGACCATGCAAGCTGAAACTGTGGAAAGTGATCTTAATAATCAATGGATGAAAATTACGATTTTTCTGTGACCTTTAAAAATTTTTGCAAAAATACTAATTGTCTTGTTGTTTATAACTGTACTGTTGATTATAAGGAATGAGTTTTTTTTTTAACAAAGAAATAAAACATTTTAATTCTCAATGTTTCTAATGTTTTTAGTATACTAAGTGAATATTAATTTTACTATTTTTTTCATTTCATTTTAAAATGACTCTAGGGGGTTTACCTGAGTTGATGCAAATATCTGTATAATGGAAATGATGGAATATTATGCCATCATTAAAGTATTTATAGGAAAATATAATCTGGAAGAATGCGTATGTTTCAGTAATACAGCTTAAAAGGCAGGTTATAAAATATTAGCAATATGGTATATCTGTCTATTTTTAATGGAGAGCAAAAATTCTGCTAGAAAATATATCACACCATTAATAATGGTTTTTCTCTGGGACTTGGGATGTCTTTTTTAAAACTCTTATTATATTTTATGTTATAAAGTAAATATTTTTTCAAATACCAGAAATACTTAAACTCATTATTATATGGTCAGTTAGTCTTCGACAAAAAAAGGTAAGAATATGGAATGGGAGGGGCGCCTGGGTGGCTCAGTCGTAAAGCGTCTGCCTTTGGCTCAGGTCATGATCCCAGGGTCCTGGGATCGAGCCCCACATCGGTCTCCCTACTCTGCGGGAAGACTGCTTCTCCCTCTCCCACTCCCCCTGCTTTTGTTTCCTTTCTCACTGTGTCTCTCTCTGTCAAATAAATAAAATCTTAAAAAATATATATATATGCAATGGGAAAAAGTCTCTTCAACAAATGATATGGGGAAAGTGGACAGCTACATGCCAAAGAATGAAACTGGACCATTTTCTTACACCAGGCACAAAAATAAATCCAAAATGGATGAAAGACCTACCTGTGAGACCTTAAACCATAAAAATCCTAGAAGAGAGCGTAGGCAGAAATGTCTCTCACATCAGCTATAGCAACATTTTCTTTTTAGATAGATCTCCTGAGGCAAGGGAAACAAAAGCAAAAAATAAAACACTGGGACTACATCAAAATAAATAGCTTGTGCATAGCAAAGGAAACAATCAACAAAACTAAAAGGAAGCTTACAGAATGGAAGAAGATATTTGCAAATGACATATCTGCTAAACAGTTCAAAATATATAAAGAATTTATATAACTCAACACCAAAAAAACAAATAATCTAATTTAAAATGGGCAGAAGACATGAACAGATATTTCTCCAAAGAAGACATAGATGCCCAACATCTGAAAAGAGGCTCAACATCACTCCTCATTGGGGAAATCAAATCAAAACCACAGTGAGATATTACCTTACACCTGTTAGAATGGCTAAAATCAGAAACACAAGAAACAGCAAGTGTTGGAAAGGATGTGGAGAAAAAGGAACCCTTGTGCACTGTTGGTGGGAATGCAAACTGGTGTAGCCACTGTAGGAAACAGTATGGAAGTTCCGTTCCTCAAAAAAGTAAAAATAAAACTACCCTACAATCCAGTAATTAGACTACTGGGTATTTACCCATAGAATACAGAAACACTAATTTGAAAAGATACATGCAACCCTATCTTTATTGTAGCATTATTTACAATAGCCAAATTATGGAAACAGCCCAAGCATCCATCAACAGATGAATGGATAAAGAAGGTGTGTTTGTGTGTGTGTATACATACATTCAGTGGAATATTATTCAGCCATAAGAAAGAATGAACTCTTGCCATTTGCAATGACTTGGATGGAGTTAGAATATAATGCTAAGTGAAATAAGTCAGAGAAAGACAGATACCATACAATTTCACTCGTGTGGGATTTAAGAAACAAAACAAATGAACAAAGTGGGGGAAGAAAAAAGAGAGACAAACCGAGAAACAGACCCTTAGCTGTAGAGAACAAACTGATGGTTACCAGAGGGGAGGTGGTTGGGGGGGAAGGGTGAAATAGGTGATGGGGATTAAGGAGTGCACTTGTGATGAGAACTGGGTGAAGTATAGAATTGTTGAATTGATGTATGCCTGAAACTAATATAACACTGTATGTTAACTAGATTGGAATTAAAATTAAAAACTTAATAAAAACAAAAAAATAAAAATACTAGAAATGTTTTAAAATATGAACGTTTGTGTTTTTGATAAAATTTTTAACTAGGGAATAATTAGCAACCTCTGTCCTTTCCTTAGGGAGTAATTATTTTTTTTGTTGTTTCTAAGGTTAATTACCTATGAATTTCATGTGTTTGATGAACTTTGTTTTCAATAAATATATTCTAAAAATTAAAATTGAATTTTTCTAGTTTCAAAGGAGATTTTAAATGCAGTAGGTAATTCTCTTTATTTTAAATATATAGATGCAGTTTCTTTGCGAAACTACCTTGAGATGTGTTTATTATAAATAACATTTTCTGCTAATAATTTATACATTAAAGGTTTTCAAGTTTTTCTGATACTATAAATATTTTTTTCCTTTTAGGTTTGTATCATTTTAAAGTAAAATACTTAATCAGTCTTTTCAAATGTACTTTCTAAAGCCTTCTTTTGGTAGCTGTTTTAAAATACAAAATATCTGTAATTTAATGTTAAGATTAATTTTGAATTTAAGGCTTTCAGAGTTATGGTCAAGCTTATTTAAAATATGCTGAAAACTAAAGCCTCTAATCATCTTGCTTTCATAACCAACAGTTTTATTCAACTCTTTTTATTAATTGGATTAAGTGAGATGTTACCTGAGTTTTATGAAACACAATGAAGAAAATAATTCTATAATATTTTATATCCCATTTCCTTTTAATTGCCTAGATGAAAACCACTATTATATTTTTTTCCTGAATAGCCTGTTTCATAAATTAATAGGGTGTAATATGTGAATTTTACCTTCTTGAATAACTAAAATCTCCTTAGGACAAACTGAATTATGGTTGAATTAATTATGACAAATTTAATGCATTTGAAATTGTTATATTTTTATTTTCATAGCACAGTATTTAATGGTGATTAACTATTTAATTTTTGAAGTCTACTTAAAAATTATTTTTGTGTAAGAAATTTTTTTTAAAGAATGTTTTTGGTGCCCAAATGTTTATTTAGTTTACCTTGAAACAGTGATTACTGTTGGTAAAATGAATTTATATTATTACTGTGTTAACTCTTTTTTCTGAAGGTTGCACAGTGAATTAAAAGATGCTGTTGAAAAGCAACTGGAGTCCCTTCCCTTTGGCACAGACATGGGAAATGATATATATACAGACGATGAAACAGTTAGGAATCTACGAGAACAATTACAACTAGCCAATCAAGTGAGTGATACAAATTTTTTTAAACTATATTCTGAATAAACAGAATTTTTAAAATCTGTGTTAATCATTATTTATGAATGATAATAACAGAATAGCAAAATTAGTACTTATTGATTTCTACAATTTATAAGAATAGTTAACAGGTAACAAAACTTGTAATATATACCCTCCCTGGTTGTTAAAAATACAGCTACCAAATGTATATTTTAATTGAATCATAAATCTTTTGACATTTTTATGTCTTATAAAAATATCTTAATGCCAGGAGTGCCTGCGTGGCTCAGTGGGTTGGGCATCTGACTTGATTTTGGCTCAGGTCATGATCATGAGATTAAGCCCTGCATCTGGCTCCATGCTCAGTGGAGTCTGCTTGAGATTCTCTTTCCCTCTCCTTCTGCCCCTCCCCCAGCTGGCTACATGCATGCATGCGTGCACTCTCTTTCTCTAAAATAAATAAATAAATCTTTTAAAAAATATATTTTAATGCCCAAGAAAATTTTTAAAGAAAAAATAATCATCCACTCACCTAAATTTACATTTTTCATTTTTCTGTGTTTTCTTCTGATACGGTGTTTTCCTCAATTTTCAAAGATTATAGAATTATATTTTTCAAAAATTACACTTCTCTTCTCTGTACTACTTTTTCTCCTTTTTTCCTCCCTCGTAGTAATTCAAATATTTAGGAAGCTATATTTTATATCCTAGGCATCTCATATCTTATATGGATTTGAATCTCTGTTCTACTTTCTAGCTGTGTACCTCAGTTTCTTCATTTATAAATGGAGATTACAAATTCCTTATTGTGATTTTGATTTTATAGTTATCTATGAAAAATCATTTTTTATACCCTAGAAATTTAGTTTTGGAATTCTTATATTTATGAAAGTGATAATTACCTGATTAAATTAAACTGGATTTAAACAGGCTATTTTTACCATGATAAAGGAGCATGTATTTAACACTGATTTTATTTTTTCATGTGTAAAGGGAAGGAATTTGAAAAAGTAATAGAGAAAAAAAAACGAGAAAGCATGCTCTTTCAGACTTTTCCAACTTTCAAGCTCTAGTTTGAGCTCTGTTCAAAATATTATCAAAAAGGATTTATAAATGTTTATATAGAAATAAATGGAAATTAATTTAATTAAGACTTATGAAGGCTTTCTAACAGGCTATCTATCAAAAGCTAGTGCACAATATGCAATTCTTGGTACTCTGGAAAAAGATTGTGATAGACCATATGTAAAAGAATCCTCTGTTATATACCTTAAATATATGCAATGATTATTTGTCAATTCTACCTCAATAAAACTGAAAAAAAACTTTTTTTTTAAAGGAAGTGGAATGAAAACTAGATAAGATTTGTAGTTTCAAAAAACAAAACAAAAACAAAACCCTATCTCTAAAAGGCATCTCTCTGCAGTACTTGTATTGCTATAATTTCCAATGTTAAATTTTATTAAAACTTCAAAATTACTTATTCTTTTTTTCTTATTAAACCAAATTTGTTCTCTCATTCCTTCTTTTTCTCCTCCTGCCTTACCCTCTCTTTGCCTTTCTCCTACATCTTGCTCCACCTCATATTATTTCTCTGAAGATGGTCCTATTTTTTTTGCTACATTTTGGATCAGTCACTTCATAGAAGAAATTGATGAGGTCCAACTCTGAGCAGTCAAAAAGGAAAAAGCTGATGGTTATAAACACAATTTCCCACAAAATCTGTAATGTATTTTGTAAATAAATATAAAATTTTAACTGAATGAGAGTTTAGGTATCTTATGAAGTATAAATAATAGAAAATGTTAATAACTCAATAGTATCAAAATAGTAATGTCAAATATTCTGCTTATTATTCATATATGTTTATTTGGTTTTTAAGGTGTGATAAAACACATAAAATTATTTTGGTATCCATCACTAAATTGAAAGACCTTTGTGTTATGCATGAAGACTAGTTGAATCCAAACCAAAGAGACAAAAGTTAAATACAATTTATAGTAAAAAATAGAATAATTTTTATATTATGCTTTATCAAAATGATGGGCATAAAGAAATTGACTATTCAGATATCTTCATTTATTTCACAAGTATTAATTAGACGTCTGTTAGATACCAGGCACTGTGCTAATTGTTGAGGATACAGTAGAGAGTGTTGGTTCCTGCTTTCGTGGAAAACAGGCTTTTGTTAAAAAAAAGCAAACAAAAAAACCTCTCGTCAAACTTCTTGAGTTTGTTCTCTATTTGTAGCTCTGTGATCTTGGGAAATGTCTTTTTACCTTACCTTCATTTATATATGGAGATTATATATGGAGATTATTAATTCTCATCTCATGGAGTTCTTATGGTAATTCAGAAATTCCCATAAAGCACTTAATGTAATGCCTAACACACATGTAAATTAATAAAGTTATGTATTATTTTTATCATCATCATTACTAAACAGCAAGATAAAGAATTAAAATTGAGTACAAAAGGTGCTGGGTAAAGCAAATGTAATGGCCTTGGAAGCTGATAACACTGCACAATATTGAGTACCTAACTAAATATTTTTAGTTTGGAGTATTTTGTTCTGCTATGATAATGTGATTTGTAAGAATCTTTCTGGGGGCAGGTTGGCAGTAAGAGCCTTAGAAACGTTTATATCCAGGGACACCTGGGTGGCTCAGTCGGTTAAGCCGCTGCCTTCGGCTCAAGTCATGATCCCAGGGTCCTGGGATCGAGCCCCACATCGGGCTCCCTGCTCAGCGGGGAGCCTGCTTCTCCCTCTGCCTCTGCCTGCCTCTCTGCCTACTTGTTCTCTCTCTCTCTCTCTGTCAAATAAATAAATAAAATCTTTAAAAAAAAAAGAAAAAGAAACGTTTATATCTTTGATCAATTAATTAGACTAGGATATCACATAGATTCTAGGAATCTATCCTAAGAAACTGTATGTGAAAATTGATGGATAAATATGTTCATTATACCATTATATTTGATAATGAAAATTGGAAATAGTTTAAAAATCTAACAATATGGAATCACTTAAATTGGTTTCTCAAATGATGGGTTATACCATTTAAAAATTTTATATTAGTACATTGGTTCTCAATTTTTTTGAGCATTATAATTTCCCAAGGGCTTTTTGAAATAGAGATTATTCTTCTCCTTCCCCAAGGGGTATCTTGAATCTTGAATCTTTCTGATTCAAGAAGTCTGGGCTTAATAATTTGTGTTTCTGACAGGTTCTGAGGTAATGCTGATGGTTTAGTCCTATAAGAACCATTGCTTTAGAGATTCTTGGTTTTCTATTTGTCCAGATGATTCTTACCATCAGGCAGGTTTGTAAAACTGCAACCTTTTGAGGTTATGACGTGTCTTTCTGACCATTCTACTGAAAAGAAAATGTTTTTATGGAATTGAAATGAATTGTCCAAGATCATTCAGCCAAAAATCAGGGATTGAATCCAAGTCTTATGGCTCCAGATTCTGTTTGTCTACACGTTTTAAAACTATGTAAGTTTTAGGCAAAACTAATTGATGATGTAGAAATAGTTATTTTGAGGGAATAGTAGTATCATAGTTATTTTGAGGGAATAGTAGTATCTTGAAGAGAGGGGAATCGGGCTTCTAGGTGCTAGTAATAACATGCTCTTTCTTGAACAGTGTGCTGGTTACATAGGGGCAATCGCTTTGTGAAAATTCATGGTTTGTGTGTTTTCTGAATGCATGTTATACTTCAGTAATAGTCTCCTTAAAACTCATGAACCTCTATTTACGTTAAATATATACTCACTATCTTCTTAAAATGCTTATCTTTTCACTACACCTTGTTACCTTCTTACTAAAACAAGGTGGCTTAGTTCTGACCTGGGATTTAAAAGTTTGGGCTTTTGGGACACCTGGGTGGCGCAGTCAGTTGGGCATCCAACTCTTGGTTTCAGCTTGGGTCATGGTCTCAGGGTGGTGGGATTGAGCCCAATGTCAAGCCCTGCATCGGGCCCCGCACTGAGTGGGGAGTCTGCTTAAGATCACCTCTCCCTCTCCCGCTGCCCCTCCCTACCCCTCTCTCTCTCTCTGTCTCTCTCAAATAAATAAATAAATAAATCTTTAAAAGTTTGGGATTTAGAAACAAAGAGGTAAATGTTTCCTCCTGACTCAGTCAACAACTTGCTGAGGAACCCTCAGCAAATGGCCAAAACCTGCTCCACTTTTCTTTTTAGACAATAAAAAGAGAATAATGCTCTGTACCTAAGAGCTTAGCATTTCTTACCCTTTTTGGTTTCAGGACCCCTCTCCAGGATGCTTAAAAATTATTGTGGACCTCGAAGAATTCTCTTTTTGTGGATTATATATCTATCAGTATTTATCATATTATAGATTAAAACTGAGACATTTTTAAAAACAAATGGGAGCATAAGAACACATTCCAATACCCATCAGAGAGGTGACATCACATCATATAAACTTTGGAAGACTTCAGTGTACACTCCTGAGAAGATGAGAGTGAAAAAGGCAAATAATGTCTTCATATTATAATGAACATAATTTTGACTTCAGGAGTCCCTATATCACACTTTGAGACTTGCTATGTTGAAAGAATAGTTAATGATGTGAGAAAACTCTGATTATAAAATCCCAAGTGAAAATAATACAGTACAAATAGTACACTGTAAGATTCCCAGTTTTGTTAAAAGAACAGAAATACAAAATTCTCTTCCAAAATCACATTTAAAAACATGAATACATCCAAAATTTATAAAGATGCTTATACCCAGACACTAGCAGTATGTACTATCAGGTGGTAAAATTACAGGTAATTCTTGTTTTCTGTTTTGCTGTCTTTTCCCAACTTTCTACAACATTTATTACTTTTACAATCTGAAAAAAATCTTGTACTTTATCAGGGGCAATTCTCTTTAGTAATTTCCAAGGCTTACATTTTCTTATGGAACAAAGATAGTGCTTTAAATCCGTATCTCTGATTTAAGAGTTAAATTTTAGCTATGAAATCTGAATAAAAAGAAAATTTCAACATAAGGAATTTTCATCTTTAGGTTTATTCTCTGAAATGCTTTTTTGTTGTTGTTTTATTTGATTTTGGTGTTTTTGTTGTTGTTGTTGTTCGGTTTTTTTAGAGGGAAAGAGAGGGAGAGGAGGAGGGAGGGAGAGAGAATCTTGGGCAGGCATCACACTCAGCACAGAGCCCAATGAGGGGCTCTGTCTTACATCCCTGAGATTGGCCTGAGCCAAAATCAAAGGTCAGGTGCTTAATCAGCTGAGTTCCCCTTCTCTGAATTGTTATTAATCAAGTGTATAACATCAGAAATATTACAACTATACCATCTTTACACAAGTTCCATTTTTATGTTTGTGACTTTATATATAAGAATTCATTCTGTAAACGAGTATGATTCATTTGTACTATGCAATAGCCTGCTAATAATTTAATGAATTCTTGATTCTTTTTGTTTTATAGGAAAAAACTCAGGCTGTGGAACTCTGGCAGACTGTTTCTCAGGAGCTGGACAGACTTCAGAGACTTTACCAGGAACATATGACTGAGGCCCAGATTCATGTAGTTGAAAGTCAAAAACAAAAGGTAATCTTGGGTTTCATGGTTTTCTTGTGTATCAGTTTTCATGTATATCTTCATTCTTGAGAAACTCTGTTTTGAAGAGGAATGCCTAAGTGTCTACTGTGTTATGTATGTTAAATAGATCTTTGCTGGTTAGAAATTTCTTGGACAATTACAGCAATGCCTGCTATACATTAGGTTTTATAATGTGATTATCAATGAAAGCTATATTTAGTTCTAAGAAGCAGCTATATGATGATTCTGTATAAATGGACCCCCAAAGCTTTTATATTGGCTTATGACAGGAACTATTCATTAGATTATGGCCAGTGAAGAAACCTGCTCAAATATAATGACAACACCATGTGAAGTGAAAATGTTAACACTCTTAAAGTTACCTCTAAAATAGATGTCAAGTGGGGGCACCTGGGTGGCTCAGCCATTAAGCGTCTGCCTTCAGCTCAGGTCATGGTCCCAGGATCCTGGGATCAAGCCCCACGTCAGGCTCCCTGCTCAGCGGGAAGCCTGCTTCTCCCTCTCCCACTTCCCTTGCTTGTGTTCCCTCTCTCGCTAGCTCTCTCTGTCAAATAAATAAAATCTTAAAAATAAAATAAAATGGATGTCAAGTGTATTTAGCATAAATTAATCAGAATAGAATTTTACAATAGGAAGAGATCTTATTGGTTATTAAGGCATTCTTTCTATTCAGAGCTAGAATGATTTTTGTATTCTTTCAAAGTGGACATCTAAGCTTTTGCTGTAAACCTCTGTTGACAAGAACTTACTATCTCAGAAGACGATCCATTCCATTGAAAAATCTGCCTCCTTGATCCTTCCATTGGTTCTTTTTCTTCTGGGAACATTGAAAACTATGGAGTATTCCAAATTCTGATTCCTTTTCTATGGATTTTGAGAAGGCAGATGTTTAAATATGTTGGTTATCACTCCTTACTTCAATTCTCATTTATGGACTTTTCAAATCCAGTTTATGAATGTTCCTATTACTATCATCATAATTGGGAATTTCTACCTAAAGGAGTCATAATAATACTTACATGACGCTTTGCAGTTTACAAAATGATTTTTCTATATATGCCCTGGTTTGAAAATAACCTATATGGGGCGCCTGGGTGGCTCAGTTGGTTAAGCAACTGCCTTCGGCTCAGGTCATGATCCTGGAGTCCCAGGATCGAGTCCCGCATTGGGCTCCCTGCTCAGCAGGGAGCCTGCTTCTCCCTCTGACCCTCCCCCCTCTCATGTGCTCTCTCATTCTCTCTCTCTCAAATAAATAAATAAAATCTTTAAAAAAAAAAAAAGAAAATAACCTATATGTAGTCTGGGCAAGACCTTTACCTCTGAGGGAGGGGGAATGGGCAGAATGGACAAAATGGGTGAAGGGGAGTGAGTAGGAGATATAGGCTTCCAGATATTGAATGAGTAAGTCATGGGAATAAGAGGCATAATATAGGGAATATCGTCAATGATATTGTAATAGCATTGTATGGTGACAGATGGTAGCTACACTAGCAGTGAGTCATAGCATAATGTATAGAGAAGTTGAATCACTATGTTGTACACTTAAAGCTAATGTAACATTGTATGTCAACTATACTCAAATTTAAAAATTTTTTTAAAAACACACACACACATACACACATGGCATTTTATCAAAAAGAAAAGGCTTTTACCTGTGAGATCTAAGAAACTATTTCTAAAAAAAGTAAGTTCTTTGAGGCTGTTTCCCCATTTAGGTCAATCAGCTAAGTCCTGTGGTATTTTTTTCACCTTTATTGTTGTACTGTAGCTATGCAGTTAGGTTTTTTTGTACAAGCCTTTACAAATAATACTTTGTCCTTATTTCTCCAGTTATCTGTCAGTCTTTAATTCTGTCATCCAACATATTAATAGCCCCTTCCAGCTTTGTGTCACCTGCACATACAGTGTTTAGTAGGATCATAACAGATAATCACACAGTTTGAAACTTGGGCTTTCAAGCTATGAGACTTTTAAGAAGGGGAGAGAGAAACAATAATTTCTGTGCCAGGGTTTATATTGTAGTTTTTGAGTCAGTTTGAATGTAGTTTTTCAATATTGTACAATGTCTCTCCAGCATGTTTATTTACTTAATAGAATGATTTCTAGAAATAATGGCCTTACATAAAACATAAATAGCCACATTTGTTTCTACATTGTCACCTTATTTAATTTTGTAGTCATTTAAAAAAAACTTATTTCTTCAACTGTTAATTCACACAATAACAGAAGACAACTAATTTCATCTAGACTTAGTCATAATGATTTTAGACTTGATTTTAGGTTAATTTTACATATGGGTTGTAAACAGAATGCTATTCATGTACACCTCTACCTTCCTACTGTAAGATCAATTGACCAATTTTCAACAATTGACCAGGCAACTTCATGTAACTAAGGAGAACATAGAAATGGTAAGTGAAAATATCCATTTAGTGTACTTGATATAAACAGATTGTGACTTTAATATTTATTTATGCTAATAAAAATCAATAACAAAAAAGCCCATGTATGTGAAATGAAAATAAGTAGGTGGTACTCTTTTCTCTTTATCTGTCTTTTCCTTTCACATTCAGTAGCATGACAATGTTCACAATACTCACGAGAGATCTAAAGCTAACATCTTTCTGAAATATCACCTAATCTATTAGTAATCTTAGGGTCCTCGGTAGGATCTCTTGAGAGTAATCTAGACTGTGAGCTTCTCAAGAGTAGAACTCATGCTTTATTCTTAGTATTTCATTTAGTATGCTGTAGGTATATGATAAGAATTGTGGAACTGTTAAATGAAGAGCCCAGTTTCTTAAAAATGTGAAGGGACATAGTTAAGTGATTATAAAGATCTTGTGCATCTCAAAGAGCATTCAGAGAATAGTCGCTGGAGCAAGTTTGAGTCAAAATCAAACTTGAAGAAAAGTACTCATTAAAAAGTTTTCTGATTTCACGAATAAGCTGATTAAGTGAATAGGTCCCTATAGATGTACAATCATTTGATGAGTATACAGAAGTAAATATCCTTCATAACCAATGCACATTTGTAACCTACAGAAGGTAGAATCCCCTGATGTGAATGGTACATGAAAGTACAAGTTTATTTACTATGGCTATAGATAAAATGGGAGTTTACATTTCCTAGAGATTATCTTTACTGAAATCATATTCTTTTTTGAGATTTGTTCATCTCTGTAAAATTACTCAAAAATATTTTCTTTTCTTTTTTTAATTTATTTTTTGATGTAGTGTTCCATGATTCATTGTTTGCATATAGCACCCAGTGCTCCATTCAATACGTGCCCTCTTTAATACCCATCACCAGGTTAACCCATCCTCCCACCCCCCCCCTCTAGAACCCTCAGTTTGTTTCTCAGAGTCCATAGTCTCTCATGGTTCATCTCCCCGTCCGACTCCCCCCTTCATTTTTCCCTGCCCACTATCTTCTTTTTTTTTTTTTTTTCAACATTTAAGGTATTATTTGTTTCAGAGGTACAGGTCTGTGATATACCAGCCTGAACGTGCCCGATCTCGTCTGATGTCAGAAATATTTTCTAATTGCATATTAAGTTCCTTTCACTATTAAAGATTCTCTAGTTGCAAGAGAAATGTGCATATATCCACAAACTCGTGTCCTACTTGGTAAAACAGGGATGATATATGAAGTAATCATGATCAGTGATTGAAAGGGATGCTTCCCTGGACCTTTATGAATCTCCAAATTCTAGAATGTTAATATAGCATATAATTTTCTTTGTAATGACAGAGAACACCATATTCAGATGCAGTCGTTGAGCCCTACTAGGCTTGCTAACAAGTTAGTTCCTAACACTAGCTTTTTTAAAATTCACAATTCCAATTTATACTTTTCCTAATCACTCTAAATCATTTACCTTTAGGGTGCTCCCAAATGGTAAAAAACACAAGCATTATTTATATTAGAGCCAAGACAGTATATATAATAAAACGTTAACAGTACATTACAGACACAAAAGAATTCAGAGCTGTGAATCACTTTGGACTGAAGTCATTGATAATTTCACAGGAGAATTTGAAATGATATTAAAGGTCATCTATTTCCTCAAATGATATTGGCATCCTTTTATTAAATGCTTTTCAGTTAGATGATCATTAGCCTCTTCTTTAACTATTCCCTGTAAGAGATTTATCACTTCCTCAAAGAGTCTGTTCCTTTGAATTCTGATTATTAGAAAGCTAAAATCTGGGGCATGGGTGGCTCAGTTGCTTAATTGTCTGCCTTCCGCTCAGGTCATGATTTCAGGATCCTGGGACATAGCCCTGCATCAGGCTCTCTGCTCAGCAGGGAGTCTGCTTCTCCCTCTGCCCCTTCCCCCCACTCATCCTCTCTCTCTCAAATAAATAAAATCTTAAAAAAAAGAAAGAAAGAAAGCTAAAATCTTGTTAAATTTCCTCCCATTGATACATGGTTTCATCTTTTGGAGTAACAGAACAAGCTCATGTCTTCAAATCAACCCTTTAGTTTATTTGCGTTGCAAGCATTATGTCTTTCCTGATTCATGCCCAGTGTTGCACCCAATTTTTTTTTAAACTATTCTGGTATGGTATAATTTGCCTATCTCTCATTATCTGGCCTTCTTTCCCTGCATGTGATAGTCGGTCTTTTAAATTGTGGTCTGTGAGGGGTGCCTCGGTGGCTCAGTCGTTAAGCGTCTGTCTTCGCCTCAGGTCATGATCCCAGGGTCCTGGGATCGAGCCCCGCATCGGGCTCCCTGCTCCGAGGGAAGCCTGCTTCTCCCTCTTCCACTCCCCCTGCTTGTGTTCCCTCTCTCGCTGTCTCTCTCTATCTGTCAAATAAATAAATAAAATCTTTAAAAATATAAATAAATAGATAGATAGATAGATAGATAGATAGATAGATAGATAGATAGATAGATAGATAGATAGTGGCCTGTGAATTGAACACTAAATTCTGGTCTGCAATAGTCTGCTTCCCAAAATAAAGATAAAAATGCAGTCTTCAGTCTCTCTTTATGTTTCATTGGAGGCATTCATTCATTTATTCCTTAAAGGTGTAAGTACTTAGAATACATTAAATCATGTGCCAGTGACTGGAAATTCTGGGAGAAGGTAGTCTTCAAAAAATGGCTCGTATTGTAGCTATGAACTTTAAATTTAGTGTTTGAATATAATGCAGCGTGCATTGTAAAAGTACATATAAAGTTTTATCAGAGTGCAGAAAGGAAACAATTACTTCTGTCTTAAAGTGAATGGATGATGGCAGAATCGAATTCCAATTCCAGAGGGAAATAAAATAGTGTATTAAAAATATGAAGTCCGTAAGATTGGGTAGAGTATGAGAGAAGCACAATGAAAACTGCTTCCGGGAGAGGCAGTTGGAAAGATGTATGCATGATCTGTTGGGATAGGAAAAAACTGAAATCAAGACTGTCGATTAGGAGGTAACTATAGTCTAAATAACATTGCCCATAGGCATATAGATAAAGATGATAAGGATAAGGATTTTGTGCCTTCATGGTAAAATCATCACTTAAAGAAGAAAATCAATTCCCTTAGAAAAATTTTTTCTACACTTCGAAGACTGCCTCAGTATCTTCTGTTAGGTTCCTTCTCAGGCTAACCCTGAGAAAAGGATTCTAATGCATATCATTTATTTAGGAGATAATACCAAGGAGTACCAGTAGGGGAATGAGGAAGTGAGACTGGGAAGAGAAAAGAAGGCAGCCAAAGGGTTTCTAACAATCATGCAAATTAATACCTTGGGTAACTGAAACTTAATCCTACCAGTGGACTCTGGAAGCCAGTGTAGAACAGGCTCAGACTTACTCCACCATGGGGCACAGGAGGAGTTTGGGATATTTACACACCAGTTCTCTTCAGTCATTGTTATCCAGCTCTTCCAGAACAGGCTGGGGATATGAATTCTACAGCACCTGTCATCTTCTGTGCAGTTAGGTAAACAAAGAAGGCTCGAATGGCCAAGGAAAACCATAGACATCAAAAAGCAGTTGCAGGTAGTTTGAAGTGAAGCAGGTGTCCACTGAATAAAGTGAAGGCAAGGAAGGATTGCCAAGGTTATATTTTACTGTCAGAAACTCTAATCATTATCATGACTCCGTTTTTTTCTACTTATATACCCTACAGTTAATCTTTAAAGATGTAGTTTTAAGTGTTCTAATACTGAATGTTTCTGTTTTTTTTTCTTGTGGCAGACTAACCAACAGTTTCTGAAAACAGTAACTGAACAAAATGTGGAAATTGAGCGCCTCCAAAAAAAACTCAGGTATTTTCAAAAATGAATTTTATTATTTTATTAATAATTATTTTTCTTCAGAGTAAGTAATGATGCCATAATTTTTCCATGAGCATTTTTTCTTCCCTTTTAGGCTTCTGTCCATAGCTTTCTGTATGTATGATCTGTTAGTACCAGAAAAGACTGAAATCAAGATGGTTAGGAGGAGGCAACTATAATATGTATGTGAAGGGATGTTCCATGAAGGTAAAACCAGTGCTTATGGAGGAAAATCAGTTCTCTTAGAAATACTTTTTCTGCACATATTTTTTATTCCCCAATAAGCAGACCCTGAGGAAACGGTGTCAAATCATGTAGTTTATTTAAATGTAATACGAGGGAGCACTAGTAGAGGAGTGGGGAAGTGAGACAGGGAAAAAGACAAAGCCAACAGAGGGTTTTTAAAAATCTGGCAACTTAATACTATACATATTTATTGTGGCCCAGTGGTTTCATAATCATTGCACTGACTTCACAGGAAAAACTTTTTTACTTTTTGTTCCCCTTATTCATAATACTTAAAATTCACAAGTAGAGTCATAATTGGGTTTTGCTCTATGATGCAGTCATTTAGAAATATCTTTAAATTGTAATATAAATCAACATTTTATAAAAAATGTAAGTTTCTGTTTGTTAAATGAACCTTCCTATTTATTTTTTGTACCATCCTGTATTTTACCCCACAAAATATTTTGCTTTTTTAAAAAAAGAATTTATTTTACAAAATTTTATGTACCACTTTTTATATTTTTATTTTATTGCCTTTATCAACTTTTTAATTTAATTTAAATAAATTTACTTTCTTTTCCCCTAGACATTTCTACTTGTGGGCTCTTATTTGGTCCTCCTTATTTCTTTAGATGTTACTGATTTTACAGTTTAAAATAGTAATGGCTTACTTAATTGCAAGATTTTATTCTTTTTTTCAAGATGGAAGTAGATTTTTTTTTTAAAAGATTTTATTTATTTATTTGAGAGAGAGAGAATGAGAGAGAGCAAGCACACGAGAGGGGGGAGGGTCAGAGGGAGAAGCAGACTCCTTGCCGAGCAGGGAGCCCGATGCGGAACTCGATCCAGGGACTCCAGGATCATGACTTGAGCCGAAGGCAGTCGCTTAACCAACTGAGCCACCCAGGCGCCCAGAAGTAGATTTTTTTAAATTATAAAAGTAATATAAGTCCAGTATAGAAAACTCTAGGTAGTATAAAAGTATAACAAGTTGCAGTATAATTCTGGCACTAACTACAGTTAGTCCAGACTCCACAAGTTACTAGCATAATCCCCAAGAAGACTACCCTCACTAAGACACAAGTTCAGGGATCCCCAGGCCACCCACACCCCTGACCAATTGGCTATAAATGCAAGTGTTCCCACTAACTACCCAGGCTCAGTAATTCTCTAGAATGGCTCAGGGAACTCAGAAAAGCACTATACTTATGATTAGTTTTATTATAAAGGTCACAGATCAGAACCAGCCAACAGAAGAAACCCATTGAGTGAGATCTAGGAAGCTCTCAAAATTTGAACTTTCATATCCTCTGGACATGGAACCAGGGAGCATCACCCTCCTAGCACATCACTGTGTTCACCAAATAGGAAGCTCAGCTAAGACTTGGTGTCCAGAGATTTTATTGGATTTTTATTATGTGCATATGATTTATGTTAAATGTAAATAAATTTACTTTTTAATATTTCTGAAATGACTGCATCATAGAACAAAACTTTGACTATACTTCTGAAATTTAAGTATTATGACTGATTGAATCATTGGCCACTTGATTGAACTTAATCTCCAGTCTCCCTCCCCTCCCTGGAGGTCAGAAAGTTGGGCCTATATCACATGGCTCAAAGCCCCAATGTTCTAATTACATGGTTGCTCTTTCTAGCATGGCCCAGCTCCCATTCTGAAACTATCTAGGGTCCTACCTTGAGTCACTTCATTAGCATAAACTCAGATGTGGTTCCAAGGACCTACTGTAAATAAAAAAAGATACTGCTACTATGGGAGGCGGGGGGAGTAGTGAAGGGCTTGCAATTTTAAATAGAGTATTCAGAATAAATCTCACTGAGCAGTTGAAATTTGAACAAGGATTTGAAGGATGTGAACAGATTATCCATATAATACAGGGAAAGTGTTCCAAGTATAGAACTTGCCATTGCATAGTTGGAAACATGCCTAAGGAACAGCAAAGAAGCTGGATGTCTCTGTGATCTATTGCTGAGTAGCAAACCATTCCAATACTTTGTGGCTCAAAACAATAACCCATTTAGTTTATGATATGGGTGGGACAATAGAGCAGTTTTCTGGTCTGGGCTTACTGGGCTGTATCTACTGGACTTGCCTATGTGTCTCTAGTCAGATGGTTGGTCTGCTAACAGTTAGTGTAGTAGTTGGCAGTGGATGATAAACCTGTCTGGCGGGGGATGCTTGGCAAGATGGCTGGATTTCGTCTGGTCTCAGGAATTCATCTGGATAGGGATCAGACCATTCTGAACACCTACAAACTCAACAGGAGATCGAAGAGAAGAATAGCAATAGAAGTTCAGAGAAGAATGTTTCTCTGAACAGAAAAGCAACCACTTTCTGGAAGGTAAGACATGCAGAGAAGTGAATCTGAGGCGATATTTGGGAGGATAGACGGCAGGGGAGGGGGCCCCCGTTGGCCGATTCTGGCAAGTGATAGAGCCGTGGAGCACAAAATCGGAACTTTTAGAAGTCAGCTCCGCTGAGGGACGTCACTCCAGTGGCTAAGCGGGGAGTGGAACCCTCGTGGGACAGTGTGGTCTCAGGACCCTCGGGATCACAGAAAGACCGGGGGTGGCTGAGTGCGGCAGAGCTCCCAGGTATCGGAGCAGGGAAGCCGGCAGCAGAGACGGAGCCGAGGCGCGGGCTCTCAGCTCAGGGTTGCCATAAACCGTGACCCGCGGCACAGTCGGGCCACTGCTCCTCCAGCAGGGACCCAACAAGCGGCAGATCCGGGGAAACTCACCTTCCTCCCCCGGGAGGGGAGGCACAGGAGCGCACCACAGGGATCTGCTGGGTTTGGAGACTCCACACCGAGTCGGGTGCCAGAGATAGAAACGCTCGGTCACAGGCTGGGTGAGCACGGAGTCGGCCGGAGACCAGGGAGACGGGAGTAATTGACTGCTTTTCTCTGGGGGCGCACTGAGGAGCCGGGCCCGAGCTCTCGGCTCCTCCGGGGCGGAAATTGGGATGCCGCCATTTTCACTCTCGGCCTCCAAAGCTGTACCAAAAGCTTGCAGGGAACAAAAGCTCCCGAGAGCAAACCCGAGCAGATTACTTAGCCTGGACCGGGCAAGGGCGGGGCAATTCCGCCTCTGGCAAAGACATTTAGGAACCACTGCAACAGGCCCCTCCCCCAGAAGATCAGCGAGAACAACCAGCCAAGACCAAGTTTAACGATCAATAAGAACAGCAGAACACCAGCGCTAGGGGAATACTGCACATAGAATTTATGGCTTTTTTACCATGATTCTTTAGTCTTTCAAAGTTAATTTTTTTTTTAGCTGTCTTTTTTTTTTTGACTTTTTCTTTTTCCCTTATTCAACCAACATCTTATCAATCCCTTTTTTAAAAGTCTTTTTTATTTTTCATTTTTAGAGTCATATTCTATACCTTCATAGTAGTTACCATTATTTTTGGCATATATATATAAGTTGTTCTCTCTTTAAAATTTTGAAATAGTTTCTTCAACATAAAAATATACCCTAAATCTCTAGTATATGGTTTTGTTCTACTCTCCTGCCTGATCACATTCTCTCCCTTTTTTTTTCTTTTTTTTTAAATCCTTTTCTTTCTTTTTTGAAACAACTTCTTATCAATTCCTTTTATAAAATTTTTTATAATCTTCATCTTTACAGTCATATTCCATCCCTTCATCATATCAACCCTTGTTTTTGTACATATATAAGTTTTTCTTTCTTTAAAATTTTGGGAGGCACTTTCTTCTAACAGACCAAAATACACCCAAAATCTAGTGTGTGGCACTGATCTATGCACCAGCCTGATCATATTTGATCATATTCTGTTTTTTTTTGTTTTCTTCTGTTTTTCTTTGTTTTTATCTTCTTCTTTTTCTTTTTTTTTCTTTTTCTTTTTTCTATCTTTCCCTTTCTTTTACCCCGGCTTCAGGTCTTTTCTGATTTGTTTAGAGTATATTTTCTGGGGACGTTGTTACCCTGTTAGCATTTTGTTCTCTCATTAATCTATTCTCCCCTGGACAAAATAACAAGACGGAAAAAATCACCTCAACAAAAAGAACAAGAGGTAGTACCGACTGCTAGGGACCTACTCAATACGGACATTAGTACGATGTTGGATCTAGAGTTCAGAATCATGACTTTAAAGATACTAGCTGGGCTTGAAAAAAGCATGGAAGTTATTAGAGAAACCCTTTCTGGAGAAGTAAAAGAACTAAAATCTAACCAAGTAGAAATCAAAAAGGCTATTAATGAGGTGCAATCAAAAATGGGGTGCTAACTGCTAGGATAAATGAGGCAGAAGAGAGAATCAGTAATACAGAAGACCAAATGATGGAAAATAAAGCAGCTGAGAAAAAGAGAGATAAACAACTACTGGATCATGAGGGCAGAATTTGAGAGATAAGCGATACCATAAGACGAAACAACATTAGAATAATTGGGATCCGAGAAGAAGAAGAAAGAGAGAGAGGGGCAGAAGGTATAATGGAGCAAATTATAGCAGAGAACTTCCCTAATTTGGGGAAGGAAACAGGCATCAAAATCCAGGAAGCACAGAGATCCCCTCTCAAAATCAATAAAAATAGGTCAACACCCCAACATCTAATAGTAAAACTTACACATCTCAGAGACAAAGAGAAAATCCTGCAAGCAGCTCGGGAGAAGAGATATGTAACCTACAATGGTAGAAACATTAGATTGGCAACAGACCTATCCACAGAGACCTGGCAGGCCAGAAAGGACTGGCAGGATATATTCAGAGCACTAAA